TTATTGCAATTATTTACATTATAAATCCAACCTCTATTTCATCCCCAAATGGTTCAAAATATTTCTCTAAAGTGGCTTCTGTTCAACTCTAGAATTATTTATAAAAATGTAATCTTTGTGTTTAAGTCATTACATAACCTACCATCACCATATCTTTCTGAAGGGATCTTTATGTATAAACCAAACATCTATGTATAAACCAAATAGATCTCTAGACCAAGTGTAATGGATTTGGCCAATCACACAAGCAATTATTTTGCTTTATTTAACAAATAATGCACCATCAACTTCTCCCATCCAGAAAGAGAGCAATGGTTGGTGTGTAATACGATTATTATTAAACGAAGATATTAAAGACAGAAATGAATGTGCTGACAAGGTCATGCTCCTATACAACTTGCTTAAAATGTATGCTTCTTTTCATGTAATCCTTTATTCTCTCTATGAGTGTAATCAGGTGTTTTGCAACACGTCTCTTGCTCATGTATTATTATTATGTGTTTTAATAAAGCTGCAATAAATGTTAAATGCTACCACAGCTAAAAAAGATCATAGACAGTTCATGTCTATGTTCATGTGCAACATATTAACATTTTAATAAACTGTAAACATTTGTTCATCAGCTTTATCCAGAATTAAATGCAAATCCTTAAGCTCACAAAGCTCCATAAAATTTCCCTTGGCAAGGTAACTATCTCATTGGTCAACTCGGCTCTTAAAGGTGTTAAAACACAACACTTATAAAAAACTGACAATCAAGACCGACCCCGAGGACAGAGCCCAGAGAGATAGGGAGAGAGAGAGAGAGAGAGAGAGAGAGAGAGAGAGAGAGAGAGAGAGAGAGAGAGAGAGAGAGAGAGAGAGAGAGAGAGAGAGAGAGAGAATACATACAGTTGAAGTCAGAAGTCAGAGTTCTTCAGTTCCAGCTCAGGACAGCGCATTCTACTTCAGATTCAGCGAGCAGACGTGGACCTCACTAAGATGGGATAACAGCCAAATGTTCCCATTTCCGATACTTTTCTTTCTTTCCTTTCTATTGAGAGTCTATTTAAGTTAAGGCTCTTCTAGGTTGATGAATGTGCAAGATTTCACAAGAATAAGAAGATGTAAGGCCATTGACTGCATTGGCCTAAATAAAATCCAAAACAAGAGTTCACAGGTTCTGTAAAAGCAAAAGTTCAACAATCAGCGTCAAAAAAACACCGCAATGACACTCTCCAGGGAATGCTAATGCTGATTTAAATTAACAATCAAATATGTTCAATAAATTGTATTTTGTGGTAAAGGGCCCAAAATGGCTCTGTTGGTGATAAATGTTGCCAACCTATTTGAAGACTGATCAACAAAGATGATTGAAAACACCTCAAAACAGGCCCAAAATAGTACAATCTCTAAACTAGTGTCTCTACAAGACTACAATCAAAGAGTCAAATTCGACAACTTTCATACAGTTGTAAGGATTCCCAGCTAGAAGACAAATAATATCAGAAAATGACAGCAAACCCACCTTAACTACGTGGGGCCCATAGCTATGAAGGTAAAAAGCTTTAATTTGTTCCTTTTATGTTGTGCAATGACATTTGAAAGTTTTATCATTTACATGGAGGGCAGGAAGATAAACCGCCTCATGCTAAGCTTGCAGAAGCCTGTGAAGAGACAACAGAGAGGAGAGTTCTTATCTCTGCAAGTGAGTGGTACAAATTGGAGAGCGCTCGAGCAAGTCCTACAATATTATTGGAATAATGAGGGCTATTTATTCTTTGAAAGTGGGAATTTAAGTTGCTTTAGAGAAAGGAGATAGAGAACAGAGATAGTAAGGTGGACAATGAAAGCAGCTAATTGTGACACGCAATGTTCCCTCAGCTAAAAAAAGACTCTTCGTAAACAAACAGGACATTGATCAGAACTGAAAACATAATGTAATTTATGGCCAAATAACAGCCTAAAATATATGGGGTTACACTTAAAATTCTTGACTTATTAGCACATGTATAATGTGCTTAATTATTGTATTTTCATACTTTGTTAATGATTTACTTTTAATGAAGAATTTAACTATTTACAAACCAGTTATTTAGAAGTAGCTGGTGGTTTTTAAGACCTATTAAAGTGAATAAACTATTATAAATAATTTATATTATAATATTATATATTATATTATTGTAATATTATAAATACTACTTTAAATATTGTTCAGTCTTGTCTTCAGGATCTAAGGTTTGTTTTAAATGTAGATAAATCTATATTAATGACTTTTACAAATTTTCCCAACCCTTTTGTAGAACAAACCATTAATTACCACCATTTATTACAGCGCTCTGAGGTTTGTTACAGGCTGTCGTAGACAAACTCACCATTGTGAACTGTGTGCCAAAGCTTAGTGGCCTTCTTTGAATGTGAGACTGTACAACCACTGGATGACTTTGGTCTGAAAGGCTTTTCTGGGTCTGGTGCCTTTATACCCAAGTTCCCTTCTTCATAGGTCAAAAAGCCAGTATGCCCGACGTGCAAGTGAATATTATCTTTTGACTGTTCCATGGGTTCAAATAGAAATGGGGAGGCGAGAGTTTTGTAATGCCGCCCCCTCATCCTGGAATACTCTTCAGTCTGAACTAAAAATGTCTGAGCTCACTGTATTTTTTAATATTATCTTTACATTTTAGGCATATAGTTTTGTGAGCTCATCTAAAGCGAGGAAGGCTATTTATGCTTTGCAAATCCCTTATAAAATGAGAATTAGCCTTAAACACTGGATTCAGAAGTGTGATTACATCTTAAACTAGAGTACCTTAAATACACCATCTGAAGTTTTACAAAAAAGTTTCTATGAGGTTTGGCAGTCTTTTCTATCCTACATTGAATGCTCAGGGGTTACTATATCCTAATGCCTAGTTCAGACTGCGTGATTTTAGCCCTGATTTTGGCTCGCCGACAGGTTTTGAGAAATCGCAGACAAATGCCTGAAATCACAGGCAAATCGCTGCTCGTGCACGTGAGTGACAATCACACAGTATGAACGATCAAAGACGCCATCTGAGAGAATCGCCGATGAGTCGCCGATGCCTGTGAGATATTTGGCATGCTAAATATCTGGAGCTGTCGGCGATTCAAATCATGCCGTGTGAATTAAGTTTTGACTGAAAATAACATCAGCCATCGCCTACAGCCAATAAGAGAACAGCATTCACTTGTGTGTGCGTGTGTGTATACCTGCTGCAGGCCAGTGGGAGGCTGGGGGAGAAGTTAAAAGCGCTCTTTTTCGGTTTATTTGGACCCACGAAATGGAGGAAAAACTAGAGGAGGTTTGACAAGGCTCAGGAGCAATCGTGTCTGTTTGACGTTTCATACAGAAAGAAATTAGTTTATTATCAACTTAAGTTGAGGAGAAATGTCTAATTCCCTTTAAACCCAGGTGAGCAAACATGTACATGTTCTACCCCATTAAAGGCTTCTTTCTCATTATGTAGTTAATAACAAAAGATATACTACATGTTTTTGGCTGTGAGACGTAGTTTGGACGAAGTTGTCGGCGATTCTCCCTATAGTAAAGTCATGCAATGTGAATGTCCATGTCGCGGAACCATCTTGCAGTGTAAACAAAGCAGCGACGAAACGCTAGCCCAGATAGTCAAGCAGTGTGAAAACATCTGTGACACGACTAGTTTGAAAATCATGCAGTCTGAACTCGGCATAAGTGAAAGTTCACTCCAAATACATTATTTCACCCACTTTCTTCATGGGGTGTGAGTATAGCTGCGTCCCAAATCGCATACTTATGCACTATTCTACGCCATTTTGTAGTATAAATAGTGTAAGTAGTGTGTTCACACTGAAAACTCTAAAAATAATAAGTGCACTTTAATTACCCGGATGATGCACTCATTCAGCCGCTAAAATGAAGTGTGTAATGATGGACACTTCACGCACTCAACGACCGCAGGTTTGCGGAGGGGAAGGGGCAGAGCTATCGGACGCACATGTTGAATAACTTTATTTATTTTGGATGGTGAAAGCAAAATTCTCCTACGAGAGTGATTATAGCGCCTCCCGATTGTGAATGCGGCAATACTCACGGTAGGTTTTATTTGATAAGTCGGTCGTTTATTTCACTGATTTGGCAACTGTCAAACGTCATCAGGGAAACGGTTTGAATTTCCGTTTAGTAAAAAAACATTAGTGTGCCATTTGGGACGCCACTACAAACATATAGTATCCTGTTGAGTGTGTAAGTGCATAAGTACATAGTGCATGAGTGCATAGTGTATAGTGTGCCATTTGGGACGGAGCTTATGTTTGTAGCTATGCATATGTTGTTCAATATGTGTGTTGTGTGAAAATTTAATACTATTATCAATCAATAAAAGTATTTGAATAATAATACAAAATGACAATAAAACCCTGTTATGTTCTAAACAGGAAAATGAAATAAAAAAAATGAAATGAAAATCTTTCTTGAAATAAAAATAAAATCTTTGTAATTAATCTAAAATACAAACAAAATGTCAAAATACAACAATATTTTATTAAACAACAATTTAACAATATGATTAAGTGTTATTTAGCGGTAGAGTACAGTAATTTACTTTCATTTTATTCATTAATCTTTGCACTGTAAATGATTAATTTCTCAACCTACCACCGGTTAGTACATAGTAAACAAAATCATTACGTCAACCGGGATCTTCAAAAAAAAAAAAAAAAAAAAAATGAAAACCAAACATGTGGTTATACCGGTGGCTAAATAGTTACACCTTAACCATATTGTGGCCAAAAAATCTGTACCCAAAAGTGAAAGATAAATCTGAAAATGAAAGATAAAACTTTTGGGAACTTCTCCAATTGTAGTAATGGTATACATACATCCTAACTAATGTGTACAAGAAAGTAAACATAAGTAAATATTAAGCAAAAGGAAGTTGTAGTAATTAGGACTAGCTGCAAATAAACCAATCCCCATTCAGAAAGCCAAGTAAACAAGTAGAGAATATTTAGGCACTCACTCAGTAAGGTTCGGCTATGGTCAATGACCTCGTCCTCCAGACCAGGGTTAAAACTGCTGCTGCTGCTTTGCTCGCTGACCAAACTGGATGGACTTTCAATATGAACGTTGCCTCGAGTTGGACTGGTAAAGCTGGATTGGGGTGTTTGAACCTGGCCTCCACTCGATTCTGAATGTTAAAATATGTTTACAAAATAAATAAATTATAAATTCAAATGTAAAGCTTAAGTTAGAGGATTTTTGGGGAAACCTCTAGGGTAACAGTCATTATATTTGTACAATCCATACAATAGTGTCTACAAATTCACTAATTTGTTCAAAATGTCTGTTTATTCTAAAAAAAAAAAAATGTTTATATTGAGACTTGTGGAGCTGTACATTGATGGATTTGCTCTTCAGAGTTTGGACTTTCAACAGTTAAATTTAAGCCAAACTGAACTGAACTTCAACTCTGAAATCTGGACTGACACAATTTCAATTTAGTAAAACTCCTATGTTAAGCTGCAATTACAATCTACATTGTAAAAGCAATATAGAAATAAACATGAATTAAATTAAAAATTAAATTGAATATTATGCCTCAAGTCACACACACATATTCAGTAATACTAGACTTTAGGGGGCTTTGTGTATTTGATGTGAAGAATGGTAGACCTAAAAGGAGGAGTTGTATTGGTTTGTGTGGGTGGGAGAATGTTTGTGTGTGTTTGTCAGTATTTGACTATGAATTGTGCATTACCAGAATCTCTTCTTTGATTGGTCTCTGAAGCGAAGGTCTTTCTGTCACTGCTGCATTCACTGAGCTCAGCATCACTGCCATCACTTTCACTCAAGTAAACTTTGGAGATGGACAGAGAGAGAGACAGAAAGACAAAGAATGAGACTGTGATTAGAATTAGACAGCTAAAGAGAAATGGTTGATATAGCATAAGATATATGCCCTTGTGTAAGTACATACATGCTCAAAGATGAACACTTGAAAACTCATTGCAATAGTCATTACTTGTTTTCAATTAAAAGCCTGAATAAAATAAAGTGATCATTTCACTTCAGAAGGCTTACTTTAAACCACTTGATTCATATAGAATTACATATTAATCTCCTTACTAAATTTTTTTACTTAATTTTGGGAAATGACATTTCAGGGACAAAACCACATTAGATTTAATAAAAAAATATACTAATTTGTGTTGAACAAACATCTTATGGTGTTAGAAAGATGTGGGTAAGAACATAATGACGATAGAATAATAATGAACTAACCCTTGCTTCAGATATTTTATGAAATAACTTTACTATAGGTGGCAAGGTGAATACGCTGTGTAAAACGCCATGGTGTTTTATTCCGCTGTGGCAACCTTTGAAATAGAGACTAATCCGAAGGAAAATTATTAAATTAATAAACTTTACTGTACATTTCAGTTCAAATCAGTAGAGCTTACTGTTTTTTTTTCATAGCATAGCTGATGGTAAAGGAACCAGAGAAGTTATTATTATTATTATTTTCCTTCAAATAAAAATTGTGGAAATTGAATTTATAAAACAATAAAATACAATAGATTCATTTAAATAGACATTCAAAGTACAGTATGACATTTACATAAACTTTATTTTCTTTTTACTGAACCAGTTCATTGAAGTGAAAACACTTCAAGTTCCTTTACATCATTACAACATTGCAGGTAACATCGTAAACAATGTAAACAACAGGTCTTTAGAAGAAACAATGACATAAACAAGTGAATGACTATTCATAATTAATGTTCAATGGAATTTTGTTCTGAGGACTCTTTTCTTTAAAAATAAATACTTAAATACTCCATATCTAATAAGCATTTTCTGTACAACTTACACAAATTTAGCAAATACATTTTTTTATAAGCTTCCCATTGAAAAACAACTAGCTACAATGGCTGCTTGAGAGTTGAAGCTTTAGACTGATGTATAGTTTGTCAAGATTACTCATGTTCCTTTTAATGTAATTATTCGTAAACACTGAAATGTGCAAAAACAGCGCTTCAGTGCATCCACGTTCTAACGTTGGCTAAGAGGATGATAATGTTTGTCGCCACTGTTTAAATGAGTGATCCCACATGCCAAATAACAAATGACTGACTACAAAGTAGTAAAAACTAAAAGTGAATTGAGTAATAGCTGATCTTTAAAATTGTATGTGGAGAAGGCTACTTTCAATGACCTTTATACTTTGTGGTCGTGCTGGGATAAGATGAGCATGCTCCTTCAATCTCTTGTTAAAAAAAGAAAAGAATTGCCACAACATGCGCAATCGATTCTCAAAATTGACAATAAAGTCAGAACAAACACACAACACAGAAAATTCTTACACATAAACAGAGCACATGGTCTACCCATAAACTCCCAAATCCACAACCAGTCAAATTTAAAACTTTAAGACCTTTTTAAGACCATGAAGAAGTAAATTTCAGACATATAAAGGGCTAATTGCTAAGGATTTTTTCAGAAAAAAAAATCTAATTAAGTTATTTCTTAGCCACATATTTGAAATAATGTGTCAATACAAGCAGACCTTAGATGTTTACACTACATGTAGTTTTTTTTTAACATAACTTTTAAAAAAAAAAAACATTTAAAAGCTAAATGTATGCAAAACAGACTGATATAATATTGGTAATGAACAGTTTTGGTAATAAACGAAAATAAAATTAAAAATTAAAAATTAATAAAAGAAAATTAAGACCCATTTAAAATTATTTAACGCCCGCAAGACAATATTTCAGTGAATTTAAAAGGCACCTATGATGAAAATTATCTGTTGAAAATCTGAAGTGTTTGGACAGAACTGTGTGTAGGTATGGTGTGTCCACAGTCATATTGGGGTGATATAAAGACAACAAGTCTCTTTTTTATTTTCTGACATTAAAAAAAGGATCCAAATCCTTATTTTGAGGTTCACCGCAACGTAATGTAGGAGTGCAGTTTCTCAGCCCACCCGACTGATTGACAGCTGAGTATTAACATGTATAATCATATCAACAAGATGGAACGTGTGCAAAGCAACCGGGATTGAAAGATCTGTTCAGCGCTCTGTGATCATCATCAAATGTGATCAAGAAAGAGTTTTACAAGTTTTTTTTTTTTTTTTTTTAACAATGCATGTGTGTAATGAATTACAGCGTTTTATTTTATCACCACTCTGGTTTGTGGACATTAAATCAGGTATATGTTGTACATTAACATAACTGATATCCATACAGCAGTGGATATTAATATTTGTCCTGTCACATTTGCATGCAAAAACACTGCAAAGTTAAACATGCGTGCAATGTGTATGTGTCCGCTGTGGTTGGTTGTGTGTGTGTGTGTGCGTGTGTGTGTGCACGTGTTTTTGTGACATATCAGGACACAAATCTGTATAATGACATAGGTATGACACAGGTATTACAAAAAGGAGGTGAATTATGAGGTCATTCTCAAAATGCTTATAAATCCTACAGAATGAGTTTAATCAGAGAGTAAAGCTGCAATCATTCTCCTGTGATGGTTGGGTTTAGGGGTGGGGTGGGGTGAGGGCAAAATAACATACGGTTTGGACAGTATAAAATGAATGGAAACCTATGTAATGTCCCCACTTTTCACAAAAAAGTGTGTGTGTGTGTGTGTGTGTGTCCGCTGTGTGTGTGTCTGTGTTTGCATGTGAACTTTGTAATGTCATTGTGTGTGACTCATAACTCCACAACAAACACATCAAATAAAAATAATAATCATTGGGAAAGTTTTTACTGTAGTATTTCTCACAAACGTTACTTGAGATCTGCTTCCTTCATGTATGTCACTATGCTGTTTATCTGACACAGCTGAGGCGGAGAGTGAGGCACACTCTGACAGGCATGTGGGAACGGTGGTTGAGGAGAACTAGCATTAAAGGCACAGGCCACAAAAAGAGCTACAATGTGTTCAAAGCAGAAAATGTTAATGTCCTGAAAGGTGTAATAAATAATCTGATGGGTGTTTTGAGCTCTGGAGACACAAAAAAACGTATGTTAAATATTGAAAAAGCGGTAAAATAGGTGCCCTTTAAGATTTTAAAAAACATCATCCAACTGAAAGATTAAACATTCATTCTGGACATCCAAGCTGCAAAATGGCTATAGGGCAGTGCAAGAATTTAAAACTGCAAACAGAAAGCAGAACAGAACATGAGGCGAAGAGAGATAGTGACAAATAAGTCTGCATCTACAATAATATTAATTTCTTCATTCCACTGTTTCTCCTTTTATTTTCAGAGCAGAGGCAGGTAAAGAAACCGTGAGGAACGTCTAAGAGGATTCAAATAGACGTGGACCTTTGACAGTCTTTCCAAAGCCTTCATCATCTCAGCAGCACATGCTTGCCCCCGATCAGCAGCTTGAGCCCAAGCTGAAAATTAATATTTTTTTTATCGGAGAGAGAAAAGGCAAGCTTCGGATCAGCACCGTTCTGCCTTCCAATTTGCTGCACCCCATCTGCCATGGTTTCAATCAGAGGAAGGAGGATGGAGGTACAGCGTTGTGGAGTGTGTGTGTGTGCACAAGAGAGAGAAGCCTGGACTCCTGTTACAGACTTTCTCTTTACCACCCGTAGGACACCACCCGTCCCTCCAATCTGGCTTGATGAATTCAGCAAATTCTGTCGTCATACTGAATTGCTGTTACACGTACAAACACACATCACTTGATTTGCTTTGATCCATCATACATCAGGACACTTTTTTGTGTGTTTTTGTGGCTCTAGTGTGTGATGAAAGTGTTTGAGAAATGTGAAAAGACGAAAATAGTTTTTAAAAAAGCAACAAATCTAAAGGCTCCACAAATCTAAAGGCTCCAATATACTACAAACAAAGTTATTTGTAAAGTTATTTTTAAATTTTTAGCATTTTATGAAAAAATTAGTCATTAAAACTATAATGTTTAGAAATGTGGTAAAAAAAGCTTTCTGATAAACAGAAATTGGAGGAAACGATATTCAGGAGGGCTAATAAGTCTGACTTAAACTGTATGTATAGTCAGTAGTGTAAGGCTTGAAGCTTACGCTGCTATTCTGAACCATACACTGTATAATATATGGACGTAGTGTCTGTGACGTCACCCAGAGGTTTATGAAGAGCGCAAAAGAAGCCACAAGTAGGTGCGGCTAATCGTCGCCATTTTGTTCGCACATCATCGCACTCATGGCGGGATACCAAACAAGGGCAAAGAGGGGGAGAGTGAGCGAAGCTACAGCCACGTGATGGATTTTTGCTTGGATCTGGCTTTAGACATACTTTACTTTGGGAAAACGCTTTATACATTATCACCTGCGACTCGTTTGGGTTCTGACCACATGTGCTTGGCTGTACACTAGAGTAATACACAGAGCCACTAAGCATTGTTCTTATGGCGTTTTTCTACAGGAGGAAAACGCAAATTACTTCCAAACACGTAAAATATAGTCTGTGTTAGTAAATGCAAGACTATTGATGACATCTATAGCATAACACTGTATAATAACACTTCAGAAGACTGTTCTACAGCCCATAGCTAATCAATCTGTCAGATTCTGGAGTGCATTACAGCACTAAAGAACATTACAAATGATAAATGATCTTAAATAAACAAATGCATTAATAGAGATGGTTTACAAGAATATAACTTTACTCGGAGGCCACGTGAATGGTTTGTGAGCCCAACTAAGAGCATACAGCATCCCATATCATCTGATAATTGTAGGAAATAATCCCAAAAGGCAACTGACTGTGTAAAGCCACATAAAACAACACAAAAATCAAGTGGTCACGCCCTTAATTATGCAAACTTAATATAACCTAATATAAAGGAAACT